GCGTGCTTGTAGGCATCTTAGAGACCAGGGGCTTCCAGAAAGAGAATATGGAGGAACTCAGGAGGGGATTGTGACTTTTCTCTGTAGCTCATAAAAACATGGGGGCAAGGATCACTTTGGTTGTAAACATAGCTCTCCAGCTGAACTTCCTGCTAACAGTGTGCTCATATTTTGATAGGGAACCTCCCAAAAAATGATGAATGTGTTTCCCAGGGACAAAGAGAAATGCAGAATAAGGGTGCTGGAGAAAAGAACCCCTCTGTGATTTTCCAGTTCCTATGTTATTTTTCGTAGGGAAAGAGAATGTGCTCCGAGGGCAGACCGTCCTGGGTTCAAATTCTGGTCCAGCCATTTATTTATCTGCAGTGTGACCACTGGCTGTGATTTCTGTCATCAGTCTCGGGTCCTTTGCGAACTTGAATCACTGACACTATGCAATTCCATGACAACCGAATGGTATCACCTCTGCAGCTCACACGATGTCTGGAACAGGGCTGGCGCTCAGGAAACAATGATCCCCTTTCTCTGCTTTTGGAAAGGCGTGCTATCTCTCAGAAGCACAGGCCCCTATAGGTTGAGGTTCACCCAGGCCCAGAGATGGACAAACTTTTACTTTTCTTCCCTCCTATTTCCTGTTTTCCAGAAGAGGCCATTGCATTGGAAAATAAGATGATGATGGTAAGGGAGAAGGAAATAATGAGAAGAGAAAGAAACGAGCCTGAGAAGGTGATGAAGCATTGGGAACGAGAGCCAGTTGAGAACGAGAAAGAGACAGAAGACAAGTTGTCTCAGGAGATTCTGAGGATCACAGCAACTGGACAAGAAGAAAACGGGCAGAGAGAAGTAGGGGGAACCCGTTCCTTTCAGAGAACAGGGCTGGGAGCCACGGGGCAAGATTCAAGAGACGTTGCCAAGAAAGCATCTGGAGAGGCAGGTGCAGAAAGAGCGGGAAATGTGAGCAGAAGGGAATCGAGAGAAATTTACAGGAGGCCTTCAGAGCTGGACCAGAAATTCTCAGGGGACTTAAGTGGAAAGGAGTCGGAGGGACTGGAGAGGAAAGTTTCAGAAGCCAGCAGAAAAGAGTCAGAAGTAGAGCAAACGGAACTGGGAGGAACAGCAGAAATGACCACAGCAGAAGATGCTGAAGAAATGGAAAAAGATGAAAAAGCAGATGAATGAAGCAGTCAGCAGCTGGCATTAGAATCAGGGGGCTTGTGTTCCCAGGGGCTGTGGGGATCTTAAACTGGACTTTCGAGCTGAGATTTGTCTTTAACGGGAGAACATGGGGCCTAGGCTCCTCAGGTCACTTCTGCCTAATTCTGTTACTGTTTTCCCTTTAAATAGATACCTTTCATTCTTACAAACCCCAAGTCTGTCATTGTGCCTCCCTCCTCTCCCACAAGAGCCTTAGAGAACGAATAACCCAGCTCAACCCAGCTCGAGGTACCGCATTCCAAGCGAAACTCTGACCTGACCCTGACCAGGTGACAAACACAGACCCCAAGCAAGGGCTGACCCAGAGTGTGTTCAAGGTGAGACGGGTGGTCCTCTCCCCTAAGCCCTGTCCAAGGACCGCATGGAAGAAATGAGAGAGGTGCTAAGAAGAAAGGGTTTCAGGAGGGTGAAGAAACAGGTAAGCTCCAAGGAACCAGGCTAACTTAAAGAGGGGAATAGAGGTATGTCTGCCCAGGCACCGGTCATCTGTTCATGTTGCTGAGTGCCTACTGTGTTCAGGGCACTGTGGGAGGCTTTATGGAAGAAATAATGATGGGACAGCCTCAGCCGTCACAGTGAGGAAGCCCTACTTGTAAACCCTGAAGCCTGGAAGGCCGAAAGAAGTGAATGCTGGCACTGACAGGGGCACTGTGTTCTAGAAACCCAGCTGGAGAAAGTTCCTGCCCAAGTACAGGGAGCAGCCCCAAGTAGGAGTGGCAGCTCGCCTGCACCTGCGCCACTTCCGGGCGGCATGGTCAAGTAAATCAGGCTCTCGCAAGCTTGTTTCCTCCTCTGTAGAACGGGTATCTGTCTCCCGGGTTGGTGTGAGGCTTCTAGGGGTGCTTAGCAACAGCACTTGGTACACGAGAAGCTCTCAAAAATCCAACCGAGCTTTCCGTGGCTTCCCAGAGGTGGTGGTGGTTTTAACAGCTACCTCAGGGGATAAGCTAGGATTTCACTACGTTATCCATCTGTCCCTTGGCTATTGCCATCCTTGTTCCATTTCTGCAGTCCTTGTAGGTGTTAGGGCTGACGTGACGCTAGCTAGGACCAGGCCCCGACTAGGGTGAGGGGAGTGAGGCATTACAGATGCAATTTTTCATAAGGTGCCAAGAAACTCAGTAAGCGACATAACAGTATTTTAATATTGTAAAACACACACAAATTAACGCAAACCCCCACGATGAATAAAATACCAAAATTTTAAATAAAGACAGGATCTGCCTTTGCCCTTGCACGACCCTGCCTCCCTGGCTTCACCCTAATCCCGCTGTGGGACCAGGGAAGGGTGACTGCCTCCCTCTTTCTAGAGCTCGGCTGGAACTCTGGAAGACACAGGTGAGCCGCGGCCCAGCTGGGCGCTGGGCGGCCGCTTCCTCCCGCGCTCAGTCAGTTTCGGGTTTCGATTCGCCGCGCCTGCGCCGAGAGCCCCGCCCCGGCCCGCCCCGGCCCGCCCCGGCCCGCCGCGCGCTCCGCCCCCGGGCTATATAAGGCTGCTCCGCGGGGGTCGTGCTACCGCTGGGCTCCGTGTCCCTCCGCGCGGGCGGGCGGTCCCGGAGAGCTAGTGCCTGCTTAGGCGGCGACGGCGGCGCCCCCCTCATCATGGTGAGCGGGCGCGGGGAGGCGGGAGTGGAGGGAGCGGGCCGGGCCGGCGAAGTACCCTTACGGAAAACGGGAGTGTGGGGGGATTTTCGGGAGGAAGTGCCATGCAAATGAGCACTCGAAGTTCCGGAATTGAGCTCTGGCTTTCTGGGCCGTGGAGTGCAGCCCGAGGTAGGGGAGACGCGAGCCGAGTGGGAGGGCGGCACGGCCGCCGCAGGAGGGCGGGTGCCGGGCGCCGCGGGAGCCGGGCAGACCGAGTCTGGGTCGGGGGTAACGCGGGGTGGGCATTCCTCGCCTTCTCCGGCCCGCGGGCCTTGT